ATACATATCTCTAACTGTTGCCACCACACATCAGAAAGAAATTAGCTATCCATCAGACTGTAGCTATTGTAGAATATTGAATTATCAACATTTAATACTCAGCCAAAATATTGTTTAGATGAATTTTTTTTAACCTCCTTATATATTTCTTTAACTAAGAAATTAAGTTTGTAAAGGATAAAAACGATGAAGACTGTGCATGAATATTAGAAAACCATTGCCATTTTATATAATTTAGTTTACAAAATTTTTATTTTGAAATGGGTAGACAATATTTCCTATAATCACGCATTAAGAATTATTAATATACACTCATAGGAAATACAGAAGTTATTTGAAATACATTAATTCTCGTGCCAGTTATATTTTGTATTTATCTTTATTCTTATCTATTTGTATGACACTTTTCATAGGTGGCAGTTTTGATTGTGGAGGTCTAAATAAAAGTAAACGGAGTCCTTACCTCTCTTCTACCCACGAAAATTTTGCGAGGAATCATATTTTTATTCTATCCTGTAATGCACGTCTTCTACCACAGTAATGAATGATGCAAGGGTAATAAAATAAAGATAAGCCTATTAAAAGCACTGCAGTATTTTAAAAAGGGTCTAGGCGGCTATGGGAATCTTCATCCATCATAATGTGTTACTATTACTAGTACTATTCAGTACAAGTAATCATTACTCGTTTAAGTTGTCTCGTGCAAGTTAAGTGTGGAAACTTCCAGATTTGGTTACTTATTTGATCAATGTTCATAACGTTTTAGTTGTTTGAAGTAGAAGGTTTATGGCATTATTGAGAGTAACTTTTATATCTTAATTTGTTTATAAGTTATTTTTAAGATTCTAGTTGTCATACTACATGTAGGGAAAAGTATTGATGCTGTAGTACAATAATCATAAAATATTATAATTATAGTAAGTATGCATATATGTAGTTTTCGATAAATTTCTATTCAAGATAAGAAAGTAAACGTTTGTTTAAAGAGCATCTTTTATGTTCTAAATTCAAATTAATACAAAAAAGACCCAAAGTAAAAACTTTAGTTACCAAAGTCATATTTCAGGATCTGTGATGCTAGATCCAATTTCTAAAAATATATTCTCAGTTCAGCTATCTCAAAAACAGGTAGGTAATGTATTTGTTGTGAATATCTATCATTCGTTTATGATAATCAGTCTCAAAATTTCAGTTCTTGGAAAACTATTATTTATGAAGATGTTTACGAAAATACTTTGATGTTTATATCATAGACACAATTTTAGGAATCACTGCAACAATAAACAATTGTCTTATTATGAAGCTATGATGAAAACATTTTGGTCTTGGCAAAAATGTTTACTAAATTTACTTATTGAAGTTTTGTAATGCAGTAAGCAAATAGTCGTTTTAACAAATATATTTGAAATTATTGGGAACTTAGTTGATTATCCAAAATTGAAAATATGTTTTTTTCTTAGTACTGATAGTATATTGCCTTCTGGTAAAAGTTGTACTTTAATGGATGACTAAATAAATTTATCAGGGAAGCATTCTTTTATATATATATTGTGTGTGTATATGTAGAAATGTGAACATTTTTGGTGAACTTGAAACATTCAACTTATTAAACTAAAGAAAACACAAACTAGTAAATATGTGTTTGCATATATTAAACTTCTGGCTGGTGTTAGACATAAGTTGTTGGAAATCTTGACCAGAATATGTGTGTGAAAGACCCGAGATGTTTATAAATTTTGTAATTTCTTCACCTGCTTGATGGAAAAATAATTTTGTGCAGAATTTCAAGAAGCATGGTAATTTTCCTTAAAACGATTGGCTGAGGAATCCACATTTAGTAGTCACTTGTGTAGACCACAATGCCAAGCCTGAGTAAATTGACCTTATTCATTAAGAATTTTGAATTCAGCTAGTTTTGGTAAAGACAGCTGAGTTTCTTTGAAGTTAAAATCCTAAACACATTTGAGAAATGCTTTCTTGCATGATCAAAATGGTCAGGTTTGTTGAAATAACCCAGTTTGAATATTATTAATTAAGTTAGCTTCCTTACTTTTGAATTGGAACTGATAGTTATCAATTATGCCAGGTGGATCCTAGTCCACGTATTAGATGAGGTCAGCCTCTGAGACCAATTTATTCGGAGAATATTTCAATAGGAATTTTGTAGTTCATAAAACACATACTCATCAACAGAAGAGAAATGAGCAGACAGCCTTTGCTAAAGAGGATAGGTCCCTTGGTGATTAAAATGTGAAACCCTTTCAGTGAGGAGTCAACTTCTAGGCACAAAGGATGTTGCAGACACAATAGTGCAAATTAAAGGCCTTAGCCAATCTCTCTCTATTTAACAAACATTCCCAGAGTAATGTGTCATAAACTAAACTACAGCTGGCTTCTTTAAAGAGTGACTCCTTCCTCTCTCTCTCTTTTATTTTTTTTAAATCAAGGCTACCAAGGTCATGACAGTAACTTGGATGATTTTGTCCAAACTGAGAATCATATGTGCCCTCCACCCCTTTTTCAAATTTTGAGAAGTTTAGAGCAGACACCAAGTCAGACCCTGTATGTGCTTAGAATTTTACACCCAAATCCTTAATGAGTTGAACTCCTCATCATGTTCCAGCAGGTGATATTATGATTATTAATGAAGTAACAGTAATCAACATGAGGAACTGAAGCATAGCAAAAGCCTTTAATGTATACCCAACAAGTATTCCTCCCATACTAAGAAACTGAATGTTGTTTAAGATGTATATATACTAAATAGCTTGAAATCAACAGTAAGGGACAATAGAGGGAAGCACAGTTGTAGACTAATCAACATAGGAACATTTGTCCAAGAAATTAGCAATAATTCCCTAGTTTTTAGCCAAGCACATTACTGCTATGGACAGCAACAAAGTGGTCATTACTTCCTATGGTAGACACAATGCTATGTAACTCTGAGGAGCAGGACATCTAGCCCCTTTTAAGAGACTCCAGAATATTACTTCATGCAGCTGATATAGCAAAACATGGCTACAAGAAGATAACAGCGTGCACAATCAATACTTATGTTGTCCTGGTTATTTCATTTCTTCATGTTTGAAGCTGAAGAACTACGCTACCTTTTATGACTGATGCTTGGCTTCTCATATAATTACAAACAGGGTTTATCCAGATAAAGCAAAGGAATTATATTTATCATGCCTTTACTGAGTACAACATAATCCTTCAGTGATGTTGAAAGGAAGACTGCGTGTGAAGCCTGGAATATGTTTGATGTTTAACCAATGACTGGTAGTACTATAACATCAAATATGGGCATCTGTGTAGTTATTAATGGTAGTTACAAAATGGTCTTTTTTTTTGCAATAAACACTGTTTAGAGAATGCTTGCAGCACCTTTATTATAAATGATTCTCTTTGGAATAAAACATTTTCTAATCCATGGTTCCTTGTAGAAATATAATTATAAACATGACTTAGAATTCATGTTACAAAATTCAAAATTATCACCATAGGAGATCCTAATCTTAACATGTGGTGTTTTATATTTAGGATGATGCCAATAATATAAAAGGACACCAAGCAGTTCTGGGATTCCATCAAGCTTATTGCTAAATCTATTGTATTTTGTGAGATCAGTTTTAGTAATGACATAGCAATTTGTTTTTAGAGGGAACTCCTGGCTATAAGAGGACTTTGCTGCAAAGCTGCTATATCAAAAAAAGTGCAGGAGGATTGTATTTAGATGATCAAATTATGCTTTTATAAATAAACTGAGCAACTGTCAAAACTCTGCTGGACCACACAGACATTGTTAATAATATTTACAATCATGACATTTGGTGATTCACATTTGTAAATATCAAGTTATTTTCTAAGTTGTTTAAACTTAGCATTTAGTTTTCTTCAGGTTATTTTGTCAATGAGGAGAAATGAGAATATATTTTAGCAGATTGCTAGGCTTTATTTATGTGTAATTTGGGCTTGTCACTATCTACATAAGTCTTGATAACTGCTTCACCCATCTCTGATACATCAAAAGTTTTATCACAAAGGATAGAATGAGACTGAAATTTCTGTTCACTCCTTGTATCCAATGTTGGTATTCAGGTTTCACCTCTGTCTTTTCAGTAGATGTAGTAACTTGTAATGATGCACATTACTCATGGTGTAACATTTGCTCTAAGAACACTGGCTTTAACTCGTAATGAAAAAAGTAGGATAGGTCTACTTTTCCCTAACTCTTTGAGATCATCCAATCAATACATTGCATACATAATTCAACCTATTTTATTATTTTAATATTACAGCAAGAACAGTCACAGGAGAGTATTATAAAAACAATAGTCAACAATAATTTTAAAAGAAAACGAGCATTAAAAATTACCTACGAGAAGGGCTTTACTTACAGTGCTAATTTTGTTTGTTTCTCTTAACATTTTTCAATACTTTAAAATACTTTTAAACAGTACTTTCAAGACTATCACTAATATACAACAACAAAAAAAACCCTTAAGGTCGTGGCTTGAAATGCATGAAACTTGATCAATCCCTGAGTAATATTTATAGTATTTAAATATATTTTTTGTGACTTATGTATTTGGAAATGTTTACCCAACAGTCATATTATACACAAGTATTTAGCACATAAATAGTTCAGAAAAATGTTTAAAAAGCTGATAAGTCCATATGGCATCCAACTGGAAATTTGAGGATAAAAATACTTATACAAAAAGGCATACTGACTTAACCAGTACAAAGATATCCTTCAACTAAATTGGAAATTAATGTTAAGACCAGCTATCACTTTCTTCAACCTTGTATATAAAACGTGCTTTTCTTGATTACATTTTTAATTAAGTGGCGATATCTAGATTTATTACATGTAATCTTTAGTCATTATATATGTTCAATGTGAGGTAACTGCCAATTTCAGCAAAGTATCTCATTAAAACCATTGCATCATTTTTTAATTGTTACACTATTATGATCAGAGTTAAGTTTGAGTCATCAAGATATTTTAATTTTCTTTAATGATCAGTATCACTTAACCATACAAAAAAGTCTCGTAAACAAAGCTTATGGTCCACTACTTGGAGAATGTTTAGTCAAACATACCTACAAGAAAAATGAAACGGAACACAATAAATCAAGTGAGAGCTCAGACAAAAACATAAACTACTGTCATGTTCGCTAAATCTATAATCTTAATAAAATATCTGAATGCTTTAGCAGAATGAAGTTTGACTAAACCTAAGTAATTACCTAGCCAAAATTTAAATACTTCTGTATTTCACTGCTATGGAGAATTAATCCATCTAAGTGAAAATTCCTCTAGATAAGCAAATTTTCAACAAGCCTGTGATGACTATTTAAAATATTTGTATTATACTGCAATTGTATAATGTTGTGAACAAAAAAATTCTGTACATGATATAGTTTCTCTAGTGAATATAATTACATTAAGGTTATTAAATTCAAAATCAAAAAATCATCTTTAACTGTACACTACAAAGAGTTGAGTGTTATATTTCATACCTAGTGCAATGCCAAAAACTGAATGCTTTTAGGAAGGTATGTAAAAAGCCTTTCCAATGCAAAATATTGATATGTTCAGATCATAACAGTGTTTCTGTTTTAATCGATGTCATTGTATTGAAACCCACAAATGCTATTTCATGTGTTTTAAGCCTCCCCCCAATCAATAAATGACATACCTACTATTTTTGCATGTCATAGGAGAGACTTAGAAAGATTGAAAACTAAAACAATACAACGTTACCCATTTTTATTGGAAATAATTTTTCCACAGATTTTAAGTTTCATGACAACACTGTAAATATAACCTCCTGTGACCTTGCTGCTATGTGTACACACAACGCTTTTATTATCACCCTTTATCAGCCCGATGATGAACTATTTTTGTCTGTGGTATTGTATAGTTTATTATAAACATTTTGTGAAATTATTCTCAGAAAATGTGATAACACTATCAATCTAAAATAACACGTTAGCTTAAAATTATTTCAAAAAATTTAATCATGACTTAGTTGTGTCACCTCAAATACTTAAGTTTTGTAGAGTGTATACATTACTTTGTTACTTTCTGCATACTATCCTTTATAACATTCAAACCTTACAAAAGCTGTGACTGGGGGGGGACAACAAAAAACATTGCTAATAGCCCCCTCCACTTTTAAGACACATGGGACTGTTATAAATTTCTGTTTACTGTGGGATTTATTATTTTCCAGAGAAGGATATCCTCTGTACTTATGCAATTGGAAAGCAAAGGAATTTTGATGAACATGAGCACTAGGATCATCCAAAAAGAGACCTATGATAAGTTGAACCCCAACTGTAGTAAGCAAAATGCAGCATTTTGGAGCAGGTGATAATTTACAAAAACCAAAGATCAGTGGCAAAAGTTGTACACAAGCCCCAGGCAACAGTGCACAACGTGATCAAGAAGACATGTTAGTCAAGTTATCTCCACATCATACACATATATTAAACTGTTGTTCATGCCAAAAAGCTGGAGAATGAAATAAGTATTTGTATTATTTCATAAGAAGACATACTGGTCAAGTTACCAGATGCTGTATATTTGGATTTCTGTGCAAATGGACTGTTGAAATTGGCACTGGGAAATCACTTCAAACAAGACAGCCTTTTGCAATTAAAACTATACTGCAGGATTATTGTAAAGATGCATGAATGCCAGATGAAAGCATGGCTGGATGTGGTGACATAGACTGTAATGACACAGTGAGTCTCCAACATCGCTTTAACATAACATACTCAACTTCTGTATAGTGTGAAAGGTCATTCTTTTTACTGACCAGAATAACTAAATAAAGAGGTAAGGTCAGACTTGAAAAACTTAGGGCTTTATAGAATGCAAAAATAATAAAATGTAAGTTCAATGAAGCTACACTTTTTTTCATCATGGTTAAAAGATTACTTCATACAAACTCGTTGATTTCTCTGTTCAGTGTAATGATTAAATAATGCATACATTTGACCATGGGGAATTATCAATGTGTATTTTTACAAAGTTGATCACTGAAGACAAGTAACAATATTTAAACAGTACCCAAAAAAATCACATTTGCTATATATTTCTAAGAAGTATTAATAAATGTGAAATCATTAAAGTTATTAGTTCTTTTCAAATATAATAGCACTATAGCTCATTGTATAAATTAATTAATTCTTATAAATCTCTGTTGTAACATATATTATAAATACTAGTAAGATATATTTAAAATCTTATTTTCATAGTTACAGTAACATCAAATTTATTAACAGGTGAACTTAACTTTAAATTCAAGGAAATATTTATGAGATGAAATCATTCTTATTGTAGCTCGTGTTCAATTTTACAGAAATACATTGCTTGTTTTCTTTGCTTTTACTACCACATAAAATAGAATTGAAGATTAAATGTTTATTGATGTATACTTAATTATAAAAATAAAGTGAAGAAAAAACTCACCGAAACACATACATACGTTCTCCTCCTCAGATTCTTCATGTTTCTCTTCTTTCTTAACTTCTGTTAAGTTCATAAAAATTATGTGTTGCATCAGGAACAAAACAAGCAAAAAGTAACTAGAATGAAAATATGTATAAACACAACGAACGAGCAGTACCTTAGTCAAGCATGGGATGCAAGAAATATCCATTTATGAACATGTTATTTTATAATGAAAACACTGAAGAAACAATGATTACTCTCATTAAATATTTTTCCATTTTAGGTATTATCTTTTTAATCATTTTGATATTTATATACAAAAAATCTATGACAGTTAATCTTCCACTGGAAGCTACTACTTCTATGTTATAAAAAAATTTCATTTGACAGGGTTGGATTATTTAGCTAAGCTGAACACATGCCCATTTTAGGATATGTGAACCCCTTGCCCCACATAATTGGTCAAATTTTCTTTTCATCATAGGAATATTGTTTAAATATAGTTTGAAGTGTATTCAATTCACAATTATTTAAATTGCTATACACCATCTTAATTCTTTATATCAGAACTTTTATCCAGAAAACCTTTGGCAATCTTAAGTAAATTTTTGATATAATCTATTTGCTCTTATACACATCTATCTAAAATGCACAGTTTTTCCAGCTACAAGTTGCAATGAAGTTTTCTTTGCTAGTGTTTGAAAACTGGTTCTTAGCCGCATGGTACAAATTTTGGTATTTAGTGTGCATTGAAATATGTTTATATTCAGAGCAAGCTTGAAAATTTTCAAAAAGGTTTAAATCAATAATGGCTTAAAAACTGAAAAACAATTTTTTTTTTCATTTATCATATTACTTATCATCTCTAGAGGAGTAATACAAACACCATAATATTTACTTAACTATTTGGTGCAGATAGCCTAGTTGCTTTGCACCAAAAAATACCAAACAACTTAACTACTTTTGTTACAGAATACTGTAATTTTGGAGGCACTAAATAACAGTTGATCATCAGTCAAAAAAAACTTTTTGCCAGTGACTGAGCATGCTGAATTAAGTTGAATACATAGCAAAAGAAGCTTTACAACGTAAGGAACTGAAGTTTGCAATAAGACTAACCCTGAGAATTATTTTTTTCAACAGCCACTGCTAGTATTACACCTATTTTATAAAGGACTACTGTACATAAATGAATTATCTAACAATGACCAGTACAGTAAAAGCATTTCATGACAAAATGTCAAAACATTTAATTGTGCACTGACCAGTACCATTTGCAAAATTGGGTTCTAATTGATTCTGTATCCTTGAATATGTTGTATCTGTCGTTTGCAAAGTATAGTGTACATTTGTGGTAATGTATCTATACATAAGTAAGCAACCCTAATAAAGCTATTTCAATTTTGGTCCATAAATATCCCCCCCCAAGAAACAAACATGTTTACTACAGTTTAAATAACAATATGTGCTTAAAATACAAACTATCATATCAGTACTTTGTGATTTTTTTTGTCTCAAAAGTAAACCAAAAATACAAACCTTTTGTAGCTTTAGCTGGTGCAGTTCCCTTGGCACCAGGATCTCCACCAGTAGGAGCAGCCCCAACACCAGAACCTACATTGGTGATCAGCTGCTTCAAATCCATACCTTCTAAAGCTTTAGTAAAGAGACCTGTAAATAAGGAAAAAATAATGTTACACACAATGGACATTTTGAGCTAGTTCTAGGAAATTTGAAGATTGGGTTGTAAATCATGTTTAATTCTTTTCACACTATAGTGCAAGGATTAATAATATAGCATACTAAAATTGAATATTTGTATATTGCTTCTTCCAATGGAAATAAATATTATTCATATTGCATATTACATCCATCATTCCACAAAAAATTAGTAGAAAGATTCACTATATACAGTATTTTTTTTGTGGTGTGAAATTTTTATAACTTTTGTTTGTTTTTTTTATATATTTTAGTGAATTGTATTCATTTTCTTTCTTAAATTACACTAAAAGACATATGATAAATAAACAAAGTACTTTCAAACTTGGAAAATACTTTCAGATCTGCATTCATTTTGTTAATTAAAAAAATTACCAAAAAAGTATTTATATGATATGTTATCAAGTTTAACTTACCAGGCCAGTATGGCTCCACGGTCATATTTGCAGCTTTTAAGATAGTGTTGATTTTCTCTGACTATAGGGGGCAAAAAAAAAGTTTAAGACAGTGAAAACAAAAACCCAGAATAAAAAGCATCTTCCTGATTGTAGTTCAAAGCTGGACATGAAACAAATTAACTATTGCAAGCATCCGTGCTCAAAAGTTTGAGACTTTAATGTCAGGAATTGGTCAAAAGCAGGTGAATGTGTACAATCAAGTCTTAGCAGGGGACCATTTAGACCTCCAAGGCAGTCCTTGCACACCTACTTTTGGGAAAAATATAAAATTTAAACCCATCCTATACTTTCCAAGCAATCACCAATTTCCCTCACAAGATCTTTTAAAGTGCTGGCCTCCACTACTGCTAGTGACAACTCATTCCATAAGCGAATCACCCTGTCAGTAACATAAAAACTATTGTAACTGGAACCACTTTGTCTTCTCCATATCTTAATCTTGTCTCTTGTTACCCTATTATTTTCAGAATATAGCATAAAAAGAATCAGAGGCCTTTTTCCTACAAATCCGTCAGATAATTTTATACACTTTAATAAGATCACTCTTACCCTTTTTTTTTCTCTAGAGATAATAAGTTAAGAGATCTTAACCTATCACAATAAGATAACCCTTCTATCCCAGGAATTGTCCTAGAAGCACTCCTCTGAACTCTTTCCAGTAAGTCAATATCGTTTCTTAGATAAGACCAAAACCATACATAGTAGTCCAAGTGAGGCCTAACTAATGATTAATAAATAATTACTTGTTTTGTTTGGAATTCATGTCTATAAGTATACTCTAAAATTCTGTTAGCAGGATTCAATATTAGATAAAATGTCTGTCTCCTAGATTTTTTTCAATGGTGTTGTATAATATTAAAATAGATACAATTAATTTAATAAAATGCAGGAATGTTAAAAAATACAAAATGCTCACCTTTGACAGAAATTTAATAACTTAAAATAAAATCTCGAACACCCATCTTCTCCCTCCTACAATAATTCTGTAAGTTTTGAACTTAGTCCACTATGTTTTTCGGAATCGGCCTGGCCAGGTGGTTAGGGCGCTCAACTCACAATCTGAGAGTCTTGGGTTCGAATCCCCATCTCACCAAACATGCTCACCCTTTCAGCCATGAGGGGTATTATAACATGACAGTCAATCCCATTATTCGTTAGTAAAAGAGTAGCCCAAGAGTTGGTGGTGATGACTAGCTGCCTTCCCTCTAATCATTCACTGCTAAATTAGGGACGACTAGTGCAGATAGCCCTCATGTAGCATTGCACAAAATTCACAACAAACCTTTTTGGGATTCAGCATTTGATTTCGTTGTTTGTCTTCTCTGTTACTTGGTGACTTTCTTTTGAAAACATTATGAACTGATTTTGACATTGCTATTTAGTGTCCTGCCAAATTCAGCCATATGTCTGACCTAATTGTACAGGTATAATGTGTTCAAGCCACTGTTGAAATCTCATCTCCTTATGTCTATATGCATGAAGTTTTTGTTGTAATGCACATGATATATGCATAAATAAGTAAATGGTTAGTTTTTTTATGTGGTGCTTCTCGTGTTAGTACTAAATTTAAAAGTTTTACTTGTATTTTCAAGATAAGAGGAAATGACAGATGCCCAAAGTTGGAAATGAACTAAAGACAATGATCAGTGTAAAAGACAGGACTGAAATTTGTTACATAGAAGTACAATGTGGCTGAACAATTAGATTGTTCAACATTAAAAAAGGTATGTAGGAGGCAAAGTCTAATTCCCATAATGATACTGTAGTGGGACTGCTGTTTACTGTGTAATTAGACTAGTGTGATTAGTAGCAAAGATCTTTTGTATCAAAGTCAAGATTGTCATTTATAAACTTCAGTATGTTTGAAAATGCAATCATTATAAACTGTTGTGGTGGTCATGAGGCACTTTAAATAAAAACATATGGATACTGAACTTTGGGTCAGTAATATAATTTATTGTTCAACAACAAATTTAACACAAACTCTACAAAGTAGGATGGGAAAAGTATATATTAAACAATAACTAAGTCACATGATTATTTTCCATCAATATACCATTGGATAAATGTCACTTCATGACTTTTTAATTCTTTAGCCAATCTCATGTATACATCTACTCTAACACATTGGACATCATATATATATCCTATGGTTGGCTTCTGCTCATTATAATTGAATCCAGTATTTATTAGTCATGAAGACATCTAAAGAATGAACTATTACAGGAACAAAAAAAGACAATAATAGTTGATATAGTAAATCATCTTTAATTAACTTCCCATTCACAAATTATTATACACAAGTGTTTAAAACTTCAAAAACATAATAATACATTTGCCATATTTCAAGATCAACATTTACACATACCATAACAAAAACCTAAAAATCAAGTATGTACAAATAATGTCATTCAGAACAATTAATAAAAACTAACAGAATTATATATATATATATAACCATGATGCATGACATATTATTACCAACTATTTATAAAATCAAATCACATATTAGTTCTATTACTGTGGTTAACTTTATATAAGATAATCTGTAGGCTAGAAGAATAAGCATAAGAACATAACATTTTTAAATAGTACATAGGCATGTATTAAAAGTAAATCTGTTGTGAAACTGAAATACTTGAAAGTTAACAAGCATGACAAAAATTAGCCACATTAAAAGTTTATAGTGTAGTAGCAGTAATTCCTCCACCAAAGATCAATCAGTAGTTAAAATAAACTACCATATATTATTTTATTAATTTAAGTATCTAGCCAAAATGAAAGTAAATAATCCATGTTGTATAATATTATTATTTTAATAACAAAAAGGTTATATTTTGAACACTTGTTTTCATATACCATGCAGTTTGTGAAACACTGACTGTAAGATAACATTACTTTAGTTGTATTTATTAGTACTATACTATTACTTTGTAGAATTTGAAACAGAATTAGGTGTCTGCATAATATTAGTGCTTTATTATTATTATTATTCACTTAAAATACACATTTACTTAGTAATATTTACATGCCAATTAATAGTATGTTACACAGTACTAGTGTCACTACTAATAGTCTTAGAGAGTGACAGTAGACCTATAAGTATAACAAGTATGACGTTTGATAACATTTCTTCGTAATTAGTGTATACTCAACTAAACTTAAGAAAAGCATATTTTCTACTGAAATAGAAAGACCGTTTAAATGATAATATACTGTTATCATCCCTTCACCATAGCAAACTTATAGTTATACTCACTTATAAGTATTACTTAACACTAACTCTTGTTACAAGTAGCTATGGTATTTACGAATTAAAATAAGGACACGAACAAAATTACCCTTATAAAAGTAAATAAACACTAAATTTATATAATACGGCAAGAAATAGCACTAATATTACCTAAAATATTTTGTATAAGACGCATAATTTAGAGGGATGAGATTTGGTACATTTATTGCCCACGCATGAGCATATTTGCTATGGGGATGAGATTTCGCAGCAAAGCGCCGAAAGAAATCGTAAACGAACACAATATTCACCTACAGTGATTGTAACTTCATCATCTTGAAGAATCAAAGCACTATAAACACAAGCAAGTTCGTCGTCAGTTGCCATATTTGGCAATAACAAGAAATTCTTTGATGGGTGAATAAATTAAATAGTGTAAGTTGCCAGATTGGCCTTAGCTCAATAAGAGAACCATACACTTCCCATAAATGACACACACAAAAAAGATGTCACTACTGTCGAAGAAGCAGCTAGATTTTCTGTAAAATTAACGAAGATTGATTTTGACTCTTTAAGTGTTTAGACTCGAACATCTTAATTTTAAATAGGATTAACTATACTTTAAAATTATTCCAATAAGTTACACTGTCTTATGTCAGAAACTATGAATTTAATTAAAAACCTAACATTAATAAAACATCAGAAGCGCGGTTATATTTATTTTAAGTTAATTGCATTTAAAATCAGAGAGAGCTAGTATAATAACCCTATTTATTTAATTGGATGTACCTGCTGCCCCCCCCCCCTCATAAGTAAAAATAATATTCTAATAGTAATGCTATAAATTTATACACAGTGTGTATCTGTCTCTCAATCACGCAGTGATGAAAATTCTGACCACAGTTAACACTGATTCAGGTGCAAGGAATCGTGAAGTTAACCTTATTAACCAAGAACAACAACAATGAAAAAAAATTTAAATCATGAAATGTATGTAAATTATCAAACACCATGCAAACTTTAAATTAATCTTAAACTACAGTACTTAAACTAATGTTCAAAAACGGTGCTTTTTAAAATACAAAGGCTGTTTTTTTTCTAACTTTAGTTAACTTTTGTTGTGTTAGATGATTAAAGGTTTGAAAATCCTACATAATATAACAGAATCGACACCGAAGAGTTCAAATATGGAGTCAAATAAAAATTTAAAGTTTATGGCTGAACCCTTTCAGCCAATAATATTCATGTAGGACACATTAAATATCAAAAAAAAAAGAAGAAGAATTGTCCTACCTATACAACATATATTCGTAGAAGAGAATTTTAAATAAGATGTTAAGGGGACGCGCGCCTTCCATCCCAAAATGATGTAAACTTGAAAGTAAAGAAACAGTGCTGATGTGAAGTTAAAATTACATTATTTGCTTGCATTTGTTTGTGAATTCCTAATAATTCACGTAATCAGCTTTGTTTTTTTTATATTTTGTGTGATATTTCTAGTTAAAATGAAAGGCCCAATTTTCAAAAGCATACAATCAATTTTAAATCAGGTTTAGTTCTCAGGATACAATCTTTATGTTTTGAAAGGCGAATTTTAACCCTACAGTTTGTACCTGAAAAATCAAGTTATAATAAAAGTATAGTGAAAACTGTCTTTGTTCACACCTTTAATAATATAGGACGGAGGCATTGATGGAGTCTTCAAGTTTTGGTTTTGTGTATGTGTTTAGCTGGATGACTCTTCTTTATTTTTCACATATTTTGGGTATGGTTCTCTTGACTCGCCCTTCACGTTTTCCTTCCTATATATTTTTTTAAATAATTGTGTACAGTTGTGCGTCATCTGTGAATGTATGTCCTCTTAAGAGACTCCAACAAATTATCGCATGTGATTTTCAAAGCCCTGTGTTTCTAACATACAATTTATATCTCTTGTAAAGATAATACACTTTTTATGAACACAAAATAACAGTGGCAGAATGATTTATCTCTGTTTAACTTTGGGATATTGTCTTAGTTAATTCGACTTAAGCATCTGAGGACGAGAAATCAACTCACTTTGCTTCAGAGCTTATTTCCCGCTATACATCCAAACATACGTGAAGATCAGCAGTGCAAGGTATATACATTGCATTCAAAATAATTTAGAGCATCATCAAGACCTAACAGTCAATTTCATCACCTCCAGTCACGCTCTATCTGACGACTGTGCATCTTGATAAGAGCTCTGTAGTGTAGTGCCCATTGAAAGAGGGTTCTTGACATGGCTTGGTGACTATGGCACTCGATTCATAATCTACAGGGATGTAGGATCCAAACCCGTCGCTGAACATGCTCGCCAGCCAATCCCATTATTAGTTGGTAAAATAATAGCCCTAGAGTTGAGAGTGGATGTTGTTGACTAGCTGCCTTTTATCTGGTCGCTCACTTTAAAATTAGGGACGGTTAACACAAATAGTCTTTGAGTAACTGCACGAAAATTTAACAAACAAACAAACTTTTACAAAAGACTCTGTTGTAAATGTGTCATGTCCAAAGCACATTACTCTTTCCTTCAGGTTTCCAATAATCTATTTGGTATACGTGGATGAAGGTTTCCCAACATCTATTTCAACAGTCCAATCACAAAGAACTCCATGGATGACTTGAGCGGTATACTTTGGTGTAGAGTACCCACTTCGTTCTCCAGCCTGCATGAGCTATGTAACGGTTGAATGGGAGGTATAAACCCATGCTTTGTTGTCTTTGTTTCTAGGTGGAGATCCTTCTTTGTTATGTTGCGTACTGTTGCTTAAAGCACGTGGGCGGCTTTTGCCACTAACCGTTGTGTTTGTGGATTCTCACCTGTTACAAATTGTCGCATTTTGCTTACCACTGCTAGAGTACGACTTTGGAAAGGCTCTTTCTGGATGGTCCTATTTCCTCAAGTTGATCCACTTACCTTTGTTTTCTAATGCCATTAAGTGCAAGTGACATTCCTGGAGATTCTAAATCCCCGATCTGAACACATCTTTATGATCTGAGTGAATGAATATTTTACGTTGGAAAGGACTGCTACACACACAACCCCAAAGCATCAATTTCCGGTAGCATCATACAACATAAGAAACGACAAATAATGTCATAATGTAGTTGTGATACATTCTGTTCCACCGCGACTTTATATTGGCTGTGTTTGTCACGTGACTTACATTCAAGCTTTTTTTTTTTTTAATATAACGTACTCAAGCCTGTATACGAAAAAATAAGGTTAAGCATAAGGTTAATTCTTTAATATGTAGTTTTGTTGGTATAATATTTGCAGGAAAGAAAACAACAATTTGCTAATCCATAACAGTTATTCTGATAGCTATTAACTTTTGTCAGTTGACGTATGAACAGAATTACATCATGTAACCTGGAAGACAAAAACAATAACAGGTTTTGTTTTAATCCGAAGAAAGAAGACGACGTGTATATATACACATATCCCAAACCAGTTTCCTTGTTGTCTTTTTGATGACTTATCACCCAAATCACACCATCTAGATTCTAGAATATACTTATCTTGGAATCTGGACTACTTTTAACATTTATTTGTGATCATAAAATAGTGATAAAATGTGTGATCAATAGTAGTTGATAGCAATGCATGAAACTTGTTGCATTGATTTATATGTTAAATCTACATACGTAAACATCAACACAGATATTAGATTAACTATTGACCATATTATTTAAAAATAGGTCTGAATTTTTTCTTATAATTAGGATTAGAACTGTAATATCTACCAATCAGAAAACAGTTAAGCTGTTTGGTTAGTAAATTGTTTTTATAGCAAAATTATTCATACTTTGTTACAAAATATTAATTAATTTGCATTTAATGTGCTTCTTTTTTATCAGTTACATTTTCTTTAAGAACTTCCAGAAATGCTTTTCACTGGTAAAGCAACTAGAACTAAAATTTAAAATCCTAAAGTGTTACTCTGTTGTAAAATAGTCATAAAAGTAGTATTCTAAAGTTAACTAAAGTAAAAGTATAATGATGAAAGCTGAGATTCTATTCAAACACCAAGCTTTCGTAGACAAAGTGGGGAAGCCAGTAATATAGGGATTTTATTCTCCATGTAAAGTCCAGACGGCTTAGTCTGCTATATGATCATTAGCCGGATCATGTGATATCTCCACTTCCATCTCTTTCTTGTTTGGTTACTTTTTTTTCAGTAGCCATCCCTACACAGTTTTTTTATTTAGCAATAATTATTTTCTTTAATACTTGTGTATAACAGATA